ATCGCCTGACCAGGTATTGTGACTAAGGAGTTAGTCATGGGGATACCGAAATCCGATAATGGGAAAAGAGTACAAACAGATAACAAGGATAACTATGTATAGTGACTAAAGTGTCGATCACGGAGATAACCGTCAAAGTCTTGTCTCGGGTTATGCAACGTATAGCGAAGCAAAAGGAATTGTATGTGATAATACAAGGTTTGCTCGGTAAAGATCTTTGATGATATGTGGAAATTATTATGGGTGTCTGGATCTAATAATTATTGACTGGAAGGTGTTTTGTACATGGCCGCACATGCCCAGATCTATAGGGTCGCATGCTTAATGTTTTAGCAACATGTCAGAATGCTATGATTTAAACGGAGAATGGGCGAGAAGGGTTTTATAAGTGTTTTGCAAGGTCTCGGAAGTCTTGCATGAGATCCTAGAGTGTCCTGGTGATATTCAGTTTCGAAAGGTACTGGAATGTTCTAGAAATTGTTGGAAGGTTTCGAAAGGGTCTCGAAGGCTCTGAAAGATTCTACAAGATTCCTGTTGTCCCTCGCCCTTGCTTTCTTGGGGCAAGGCAACCCAAGGGGCCTAAGTCGGTGAATCCCCTCTTGCCTGGGGGGGGGGGAGCAAGCAAACCCTCGGAGTCCTAGTAGCACTATACATGCGGGTCGGTTGACCCCTTCCTCCTAGCCACCTATATATGGGACTAGGGGTGCACTAGGAAAGCACCCGAGCCTTTGGCCGACCCTCTCATATTGGTTGGATCCTTTCCCCTCTAGTTGGCCACCTCTCCCCTCTATAGATTAGATCTAGTTCTTCCTCTTTGCTCTTTGTGCTCATCCATGAAGTGTTGCGGCGTTGCTACTTCGATATGCGCGAATACCTTAATTAGAAGTCGTAGTCTTCAACGCTTGATTGGCCGGATCGTCACAAGGGGAAACTCTCGCGGCTGGGAGGCATAACCTTGTTGTGAGAGTTAGAGGATTACATCAACATCGTCAACATCTCCACTGGGTTGATAGGTTATCGATGGTATGAACTCATTATGTGCACCTTGATAGTAATCTTGGTTCGATCTTGTGCTTGTATTTTTTACATAGCACGTTGCCCTACTACTCCCTCCGTTACGAATTACTTGTCTTAGATTTGTCTAGATACGGAGGTATCTAGCACTAAAATGAGTCTAGATACATCCGTATCTAGACAAATCCAAGACAAGTAATTCGAAACGGAGGGAGTATTTGAAAGGGGGAAGAACAATCTTCGCGGCACAAAAAAAACACATCACAAAGGTCAAAATGAAGATTCAGTCGGGGAAGACCCTCCTCCACTTACTCCCTGCCGATGGCAAAACCACCCACTGCTGAAACCAAGACGAAGTCGGGAGCACCTATTTAGCGGAGGGTCACCACTGCCATCCTAACTCCTCCCTCTATGCACCAAAAACCTATTGTTTTACACCACCCAATCCCAGATCGATGCCTCACATCCACACGGTATCTCGAGGGCGTTGAAGTTTGGGGGGGGGGCAATCCCGATGACGAGAGCAGACGAAATGAAAGCCTTGCGTTCGCCTCTGAACCGCCTTTATCACTCTGAGATCCTAACATATATGCTCGAGTTTTGGTATTTACATCTTTGGTTGGATCTAATTAGAGGAAGGGAATGGAAACTTAGGGGCTACAAGGCTACAAGACGTAAAGTCACTTGTGGTTTTAGATAGTTTAGAAACTTACAAGTGATAATGGGTGGGAGTTTAGAGTCGAACTTCCGCCATTTCATTAGCAGTGAAGTGGTGGGAACTTGGAGGGAATTGATTCACATGGAACTTATTACTAACCAAACAAGAGAATACATGTCTCCTCAGATGGTTAAACCTTAGTATCATTCAATACCAAACAAATGATTGTGAAAAAAAAGTTATACCCACTTCTAATCTCACCACTATTCTCTCGTAACTCTCATTCATCTTCCCAAAAGTTAGCAAACTTGGTGTCATTGTCGTGTCCTTTATACAACTATGCAAGGCGAAATCATGCCTATCATTGATTTTATTTGCTCTAGCTCAGACTAGCTTGTATTTTCTTCCAGTACACTTTGGCTTTGAGCCCAAGGCTTTACAGCTCTGAATGATTCTCTCTTTTTTTTTTGAGAAATCTTAGGCCTTCGTTGGTTTGGAGGATTTTTGTAGGAATTTCATACGATAGGATTTTTGTAGAAAAAATTCCTTTAGAACACTTTGGTTTGTAGGAATGGAATCCTATTCCTATGAAGGAATTCTTCCTATCCTTCACGATTCATAGGAAAATAAATATTAGCCTAGACTCAATGAAAAAATCCTATGAAATGAATCAAAGGACATCTTCTTTCCTATTCCTACTCATATGATTTGAGATGCATGTCATCTCATTTCCTATGACTTTTCTATTCCTATGATTTCCCTACCCTATGAACCAAAGGAGGCCTTAATGATTAAATTGAGGAGGAATCTTTTCCTTACAAAACCAACTGATTTTAAAGCCCAAGCTGGCCCAACTAAACCATATCCGGGCCGGGGGGCATGCTGAACCAGTGGACAGCCCTAGCCACCCACGTTGCGGATTTCAGTCCCAGCCCAGCCCAGCCCGGGAAGTTTCCCGAGGCCGCTGGAGCCTGGAGCGAGCAAAACGGAACGCAACCTGCGTTCTGAATTCTACTGGAACAGCCGTCAAGTTCAGAAAAACTTGCGAGAGTAAAATACACCCACAGTACCTGTACTCTCCATATAAAATCACTTTGGTCACTGTATTCTGGCAACTGCAAATTACGGTCATTATGCTAACGTTGCTTGCTCACCATACGGTCACTTGCGCCCGAAACGTACGTATTTGCACAGCTGGCATGCGATTTTTGCAATTACACCCTCCCCTATCCCTCTTCCCCTCCCCCTCCCACCATCAAATCCCTAGCTCGTTCAGTCGTTCCCCATTCAACATCGGCCGCGTGGCTTCGTTCCACTTCTGCACAGAGAGAAGAGAGGAAAGGGGGAGCGGAGAGAGCCCAGGCGATCGCTGTCGCGTTGCTTGTCCGCTAGGGTTTCCCGTCGCGGCGGCTACCATGACCGGCGGAGGTGGTTCGTCGGCCGGAGCAAAAGACGCCCTCGACTCGCTGGATGTTGGAGGAAGCAGCAGCGAGCCAAAGCCCTTCCTCCGTCGACCTGATCATGCACGGACGCCGGCATACGGTGAGCACTCTCAAATCCTTCGCCCTTCGGTTCGCATCTCTTTGTAGGAGTCTCGATTTTGAGTGATTGTTAGGGTTAGATGAACGATTTCCTTCTGTTGCTCTGAAATAAAAGAGGGGGTTTTGCCGATTTTCCTCTGTTGTTCTGAAATAAAAGAGGGGATTTATAGTTAGGGTTAGTTTGCTGATTTTGCAGTGATTGTTAGGGCTAGATGAATGATTTTCCTTTGTTGCTCTGAAATGAAAGAGGGGTTTTTGCTCTGTTTTTTTATTTTGCAGAGGAATACAATTATGATTATCCGTGCAGTCTAGGCATAAATCATGGTGGTTTCTTTGTTGGCCAAGGTAGCTACAGGAGTTACTGCAATGGAAAAACTGCTTGGTATGATTATGTGCCGTCTGCGAAACTGACCATGTCTGAATTGGAAAGGATAGTTGAAGATCTAGGCTATGTTGCTCAGATGGAGCATTTAGTTGATCTTCATTCTACTCTTACCAAGTGGAGTATGGATGTCAACTTTGTAATGCTTCTGTATTGAATCTTGATATGTAATGAAGCAAGTTGGAGTCGAGACAGAAGTTTGTTTGGGATAAATTGCATTATTTGGTACATCCATATTCTGGGCACGACTTTGCTCGAAGGCATCGATATTCATTCATCACTTGACAAATTGCATCATAATTAACACAAAAATAACAATCTTGTTAAATTCATTCATCATACTCTCATTTGATACATCCATATTCCCCAACACACAAAGATCACATTTTTAACACTGCAACTCCACACAACACAACAAGTGCAAATAGTAAAGCAACTATCATTTTCAAGACAACCACAACCTCATTTCCTACTGCAACTACTGATCTTCTCATCTCTTTAATCCCTTCCTCTTGCACCAGAAGATGCCCAGGTTGTTGGCCATGCCCTTGCCCAGCGAGTTGGCCATGCCCCTGCCCTGCTTGATGCTCATGCCTTCCCGAATGACCATATTTCACCAAATGCAGAACATATGATAGCTCCCAGTGCCAGAAATCACAACCACCTTTCTTTGGCTGTTCAAAAAAGCATATAAAACCATGAACAAATTCAGACAACAACACAAATGTATTTGCAGAAGATGCCAGAAATCACTCACATTATGGTTCATGCATTTGTAGAAGAAGATGTTCGTATGCGCCGGGGTCTGCGAGAAGAATCGCCTCACAGTCTGACTGCAGTCAGGGCACTTGATTAGAGGGAGCACAACAGCAGCAACACCGCCACCTATCCCGGACGAGCTCGCGCTGGACATGGTCGTCGTCGACAAGCTCGTAGCGGAGGACAAGCTCGCGCTGGATATCCTGCGTGCCGACTCCGGCTGCGTGCGGGAGGGGAGGCAGGTGGTGGAGTGGGGGCGGGGCAGCGAGCGAGGGTGGGCGCGGATGGCGACGACGCGCGGCTGAGACGGCGGCCGCGACTTGCGAGCTAGGGATTTCTCGGGATGTGGAATGGGGAACGAGTGGGAGGGGAAGGGGAAGAGGGATAGGGGAGGGTGTAATTGCAAAAATCGTATGCCAGCTGTGCAAATACGTACGTTTCGGGCGCAAGTGACCGTATGGTGAGCAAGCAACGTTAGCATAATTAATTTGCAGTTGCCAGAGTACAGTGACCAAAGTGATTTTATACGGAGAGTGCAGGTACTGTGGGTGTATTTTACTCAACTTGCGAAAAGAAAGAAGGTTCTCAATCCAAACCGGAGCTGTGGAAGCGAAGACTTGGAGAGTACAAAAGGCAGAGGCACAAAATGGTGGGCTTCCTCCGGGCCTTCACCGCCGCATCCGCCGTGCCAGCAGCAGCCGTCGCCGCGGCCGCCCTCTCCTCCTCCTCCTCCTCCCCCTCCCGCTCCCCCTCCTCCAGGCTCCGCTTCCCCCTGCCTCCCTCCCTCTCCGCGTTCGCCGCCTCCTCGTCCTCCTCTGCCCCCGTGCGCGCGCCGACCGCCGCCCCTCCGATGGCCGCCGCCGCCACCGCCGATCTCTCTGCCCCCGACAAGGTTGGGCCGCGTCCTTTTTCGATCTCCGTATGCGCTTGCCTCGCCTAGGGTCTTGAGCCTTTTGGTCTTATGCCTGCTTCCTCGTGTTTTGCAGGGTACCGCGCTTCCGGAGCTCACGGTAAGCTTCCCAGACAACTCAGGGCATCATTTTGTTTTCCTTGTTAGTCTGGCTGTGATTCTACTAGGGAAGGAAGATAATTGGAAGGGCGTTGTTAGTTATTGAGAGATAAGAAACTGATTCAATTGGTGCTTGATATGTGGGCAATTCAGTTAAAAGAACATTGCTCTAGGTTTAAATTAGTTGGTCAACTGGTTACGTTGTTTCTAACGATGCCCAATTAGGTTTGGTTCGATGGCTGCTGTTGTTTAGCTTTATTGCATGGGTATATCGTTTTCTGTCATTGGTTGGTGCTTTGCAGTTCTCCATGGGGCTGCTTATACATGGCTAAATTGGGAGTTACAGAGATCAGGCATTGATTTAGCTATTAGTGTGTTTGCGTCAAAATATAACTTATTAGCATGTTGAATGTAATGGTTTTCCTTGCGGCGGAGGTTTGATGTATTAGGTGATCAAAAGGACTGCTCCCTAACTGCTGTGTTCACTTCTGTTTCATTGTTCACAACTTGCTCCAAATGATCTGCCAAAGCTTAGATAATTAATTTATAGATATCGAAGGACCAGGGGAAGAGCCCAAATGCCCAATTGAGCTATTCTCTCTCATACCAACTATATGTTTTTCAGTCTAATACTTTGAGAAAGACTTATCAGTTTGGCTTTACGCCATTACTCTGATTAAATTTTCAGTACAGAAAGTTGGGTAAAGTGTTGGGGCATTTTAAATGGATAAATATTCCGTTAACTGTACATGACTTGTAAAGATTGGATATAATAAGTTTTGACCCACTTAACAAAATGCAGCAAATGATGATATGATGATTCTCAAACTGGACATACAAACTATCCAGAACCCCATCCCCAGGGTTTCCGTTTTGAATTTCTTGAGACGAGGTGCTATACTGCTACACCATATTTGTGAAGATCAATGTTTTTAGGAAGATTCCGTAATTCAGGAAATAAGGTGCATTGTCTGAAAAATTGCTGTTACATGGGGTTGTTTTTCCTCACAAAAGTGGGGTTGTTTTGTTTTAATAAGACTCATGTGTTTGAGGTTAGACTTAGGAAATTAGTTGTACTGTTCGGAAACTCACTCAAGATAAAACTACAGAAGTTATTCTTTTGGAACTAATATTAAAGTGGTCTCCCTGAAACTATACTTCACTTTAGCAACATGCTTCCTTATATTTACCAAGGGAAAATTAAGGAGGGCTGCACATTTCTTTGAGATGTCGTTGGATTTCTCAGTGCAAACAATTATTTAACAGTATCTTTTTGTATGGCCGAAGACCGAATTCATGGTGGACATGAAATGTGAGGGCTGTGTCACAGCAGTGAAAAACAGGCTTCAAACACTTGAAGGTACAAATTTCTTAGTGCTCTATGTTGTATATAACCGTTTGTGCGTGCCTTTTCTTTCAACTATTTCCTGTTGGTTTTAAAGACTGCCTCTTACTACAGGAATACAAAACATCGAAGTGGATTTGAATAACCAGGTAGTTAGAGTTCGTGGGTCTCTCCCAGTGAAGATAATGTTGGATGCTCTGCATCAAACAGGACGAGATGCACGTCTGATTGGGCAAGGGAACCCAGATGGTTTGTGTTAATTTCTTTATTATTAGCATGATTTCCCCTCTAAAGTCTTTCATATCAGCCTACTAACAGAGATATTAATGTAAAATCTCTAATGCTCTGTCGTGGAGTGTAGAAATCAGTGCCTTTTGAATTTTTATACTAGACTTTCATTCCTACGACTGTGTAGCCATTTTTAGCTTTGGTCCTTAAATAGCTTCTATGCTTTTAAGCTGCAACATGCCCTGCTGAACTCATTCTGTTATCTGGCAAAGCATTAATTCAACTTTTGTGTTGGCAAATGCTATCATAGATCTATCTTCTGATTGCTGGCATGTTTAGTTTGTGTTCTGCACATCTGCTCTATATGAGAACTAATTGTTTGCCTTAACATTTGCAGATTTCCTAGTTTCTGCTGCCGTGGCTGAGTTCAAAGGGCCAGTTATATTTGGTGTTGTTCGTCTAGCCCAAGTTAACATGGAATTGGCTAGAGTTGAGGCTACTTTTAGTGGTCTATCACCTGGTAAACATGGATGGTCAATAAATGAATTTGGGGATTTGACAAAAGGTGCAGAAAGTACTGGCAAAGTATACAATCCACAGGATTATCTGTCTGATAAGGTAATATTCCAACGCTTAGTCAGTGCAGCGGTTGATAAATTATGCACCTATGATAACATGGGATAAATGGATATGCCTTGGGGTCCTCACCTGTTATTTTAACTTCCAAAGTAAAAGATTATAACAGAAAGCTAACCCTTGGGGTCGATTCTTTATGATATTGTAGTATTACAATTTAGAAAGTCATGCGTTCTCAGAGAAGATAGTGGTGTCCATAGCTTCTTACATCCACATTACGTCTTCTCTGACAGTTGTATCCCATATCTCATGCAATCGCTTTCAACAAAATAAAATCTTGTAGGTCATAGTTCGGCACAGTTGTATACTGTATTTTTTTCACACTGCGCTGTCTATCTCTGTTTCCTATATGGTCCCTGGTGTCTATTTTCAAAATGTTTATTAATACGCCAGACAATTGAACAAACTGATTTTGTTTCTCATTGTAAGGCATATTGTTTTGCAGTTGTAATGCAGCTCTTCATATTTGGTCAGTTTGTATACCATCCTGCTATAGTAATGCAGTATGAGTCTGGAAATAATTTATTGAAAAATCTTTTCAACTTCGGGTTGCACAAACAAGATAAATGTGCTGATCTAAAACAGCAAACAGCAGCAACACTATCCAGCTCCACTTTTTGTTTTGTGCAACTCACAAATGAAAGCACTTTCCCATGAAAATCTGCAGATTCGTAGTGTATTCCACATGATTTTTTTTGGTTGCGATTCTTTTGAAACCTGTATCACTTTTGTTTACTAAAGTGATCACTTGGGCTCTGGAGCCAAAATCACCTATCGCTAGACTAGATCTGTTATGTTTCCTTTTACAGGCCCACTTGGGCTCCACGGCCAAAATCACCTCTTCCTTTTACAGGTCCTTTGATCTAGTATGCAGAAAGCATTCATTGCATCTTCAATACAATGACCAGATTCACCAAACTAAATGGCTGCAAATATTGACACACTGGCGTTCCTGCCTTCTTCTGTATATATGCTGTAGCACATGTGCTGTCAGAACATAACAGACCAGAATTGAACAACTGTAGCTCACCTCACTTCTTTCGTTAGATCTGCTGTATGATTTTACAGTGCACATACATCTGGTGAAAATGACAGTTGATTGCAAAGTGAAGGCCAGAGTATGTGTAGCTGAGATTTGATGAATTTGAGCACTGGTGGGCAGTAACCATCCTGTTTTTGCCCAGGTGTTCGATCCTTTAAATTGTTCTCTAGAATCGTTGGTAAAACTGAAAGACCACCTTCACTTAACATTGATTTCGACAGTACTGTTGTTTTGAACAATAGAGGTTCAGCAGCAAGTTAAGATGACATGCATTTTTTCTGAAACAGCCCCTTGGTGACCTGGGAACACTAGAAGCTGGAGAGAATGGAGAAGCCCAGTTTTCAGGATCAAAAGAGAAACTGAAAGTTGTCGACTTGATCGGTCGCTCTATTGCGCTGTATGCAACCGAGGACAGATCAGACCCAGGCATTGCAGCTGCCGTTGTCGCGAGAAGTGCGGGTGTTGGGGAGAACTACAAGAAACTCTGCACATGCGATGGTGTCACCATTTGGGAATCGAGCTAAATTCGCCGTGATGGAGTTTTCCGCAAAGCCGGGTGACCCCAATATGTTGTACACACACAAGTTATGTAGAAACAATCAACCATTTACTGAACATTTGGAATAAGCGTGAATACATTTGTGGAATAAAAGCTTGTTTTGAGTTGAAGATTGGAGCCTCACAACATCTTTCTTCCGGCAAGTGCTACTCCTGTGCTGCTGCCTGCTGCTACGCAATTGATTCATCAACCTCGCTTACCAAGGGGCCAGGGCACAGCTGCTTCTGCTCCCAGACCCTCTGACTAATGCAGAACAACGGTACAGTACTAGGAGAAAAGCTCACATCGGCGGCAGCCATGTGAGGACCAGAGGGCTCCGGACTACGTGAACGCCGTCGCTCCATGACAGGGCACCGTACTCGGGTGTCTTCTGAGCGGCCTTGGTCCTCACTGTAACCTTGTAGGCGAGCTTCTGGTTTGCGCTGCTGAAGTGCAGGGTGCTCGGCTCGACGACGACGTCCGCGCCTTTGAACTTTGTGACCTTGACATGGTACGTCGACGACGGAGGACCGACGTTCGTCACGGTGCGGCGCACCGTCAGCGGGGTGGCCGGCTGATCGGTGAAGACGGCGGAGATTGCCGGGTAGTTGAGGTCGCCGGGCGAGCTGAAGCTGCCCTTGCATGTCATGTTGGAGTTCTTGGTGAAGCCCTTGAGCTGCGTCGTCGTCAGGTTCTGCGTGCAGAGGAACTCCAGGTACTCGTTCTGCCCAATGTCGTAGACCAGGCCCGGGTTGAGCGCTCGCACCGGGTGTATGTGGCCGGCCCCGTGCTCGAACGGCGTGGACGCGTCGCCGGTCGCCGCGTCCTTGAGCACGCGGTAGGTGTTGTCGTGGACGTAGGCGGTGGTCATCAGCGCCGACTTGATCTGCGCTGGGCTCCAGTCCGGGTGGCTTGCCTTGAGCAGCGCGGCCACGCCGGCGACGTGCGGGCACGACATGGACGTCCCCGACAGGATGTTGAACCCGACGCGGCGGCGGTCACTGGCCAGGCTCGACGGGCTGGCGTCGCCGCTCCATGCGGCCAGGATGTTCACGCCGGGCGCGATGAGGTCCGGCTTGAGGATCTCCAGAGTCAGGTAGTTTGGGCCCCGGGAGGAGAACGCGGCGACCACCGGCGACGGCCGGATCCCGAGCTTGGTTCCGGCGAAGCTGAGTGTCGCCGTCGGCTTTGGGGCGGTCCTGGTGTACTTCTTTGCCGCCACGCCTTCGGACTCCCCAACGGCCACGGCTGGCAGGAGGTGGCTGTCGGCGACGAGCTCCTCGCCGTTTGCTGCGGTGTTGGCGAGGATCATGCCGATGCCTCCCGCTTCCTTGACAACCTGGCCCTTCTGCACCCGAGGACTGATGCCGCGGTCGCATATCACGATCTTTCCGGCGACGGCGTTGGGCTCCAGTGTCCCCTCGAGGCACATGGACCTGGGGTTCGGGACGCTCGAGTTGCCGCCCATGTAGACCACCGGATACTGCTGCCGAGGCGAAAGGTTCTTCCTGCCCTTGTAAAGCGAGACGCCGGTGATGTTGGCGCCGTTGCCGAGCGTCACCGTCGCCGGGAAGTCACGGTCCATGGTGCTCGCGCCCACCGTGGTGATCCACGGCGACAGGTTCGTCAGGCTTATCGGGTCCGGGCCGGCGTTGCCGGCGGAGCAGGCGATGAACACGCCCATCTGCATGGCCCCAAACGACGCGATTGACAGGCTGTCGCGGTAGTAGGGGGAGGCCCCGCCGCCGAGGGAGATGGAGAGCACGTCGACGCCGTCCGACACGGCGCGGTCGACGGCCGCGAGGATGTCGGAGCTGAAGCAGCCGCCGGTCCAGCACACCTTGTACGCGGCGACGCGGGCGCGGGGCGCCATGCCGCGGGCGACGCCGCGCGCGTAGCCGAAGAGGCCGGCGTCCGGCACGGGCGAGCCCGCGGCGGTGGCGGCGGTGTGCGTGCCGTGGCCGTCCTGGTCGCGCGGGGACTTGAGCTCGGTGGTCTCGTTGATGGGGCCCGAGGAGGCCTCGTAGCCGTTGTAGAAGATGCGCGCGCCGATGATCTTGCGGTTGCAGTCGGCCGTGGTGAAGCCGCGGCCGGTCTGGCACAGGCCTTTCCACTTGGCCGGCACGGGGCCGAGCCCCTTGTCGCTGAAGCTGGGGCTCTCGGGCCATATGCCGGTGTCGAGCACGCCGACGACGACGTCGTGGTCGGCGAGGCCGGCGGCCCAGATTCTGTTGCTGACCTCCGGGCCGATGCCCAGGAAGTCGGGGCTCCTGGTGGTGTGCAGCTGCAGGACCGTCTCCGGGAGCACGGCCAGCACGCCGGCCGCCTCGGCCATCCGCTCGGCCTCGTCCTCGTCGAGCCGCGCCGCGAAGCCATGGAAGGCCGTCTCGTAGTTGTAGACGATCCTCGCATAAGCACCATCTTCCTCCTCAGCTTCAACCTGCGCAGAGCTCACGGACTTGACCGTGGAGGCGTACCACTCGTGGTGAAAATCGAACGAGCTGGGCTTCTCCGACGCGGCCATCTGAACAATGTAAGTCTTGGGGGCTCCCGCGCAGGCAGAAATGCTCGCTTGGAGAAGCACGAGCGCCATGCACAGCGACGGAGCCGTCCATCTCGCGCCGCGAGGATCCATGGCGAAGAGGCGAGGGTGAGAAGCGAGAGGGGAGTGAGTGTGGAGAGCTCTGCTTGCTGCTTATGAACGCTCCAGCAGCCCACGGGGTGGTGAGCTGTGGGGGAGTTGAAGAGGAGCAGGGAGTTGAACCGCTGAACAGTGAGACTGAGGAGCGGTAATAAAATACGGTGGCCGCTTCTGGCCGCATTGAAGCGAATTCATTCGGCTGCGCGGTGACCCCGCGAGGAGAGCTGTTGGAGTAGGTTTGCTTTGCTTTGCTTGTCACACACCACATTCTTCTTTCATTTCTCGGAGATATTTCAGGAGGGGCCCCTTGAGCCTTGACGCCCGTGTCTTGTTCCTCTGCTCCAGCTGCAAGGCGTCTCTCTGTTCCTCAGAGGAGGACATTAACGCGGCGGATCTACTTACTACCTGCCAGCGGCAACGGGCAGTAGAGTTAGCGCATTGATTCGTCTCAGCGGACGGTTGCATTCATGTGCCACGTCTTTATGGCGCCACTGGTAACGGCAGGCAGTGGCGCTGTGTGCTTTGTGCTGAGGGGGAAATTTGGTGATGGGAGATTGACAATGACACAGCCTCCTTCAAGGAAAGGGATGCGAGGCTGTGCCGTACGGTTTTGGATGGAATGGAAATGGATTGTACGATGATTAGGGTAATCTGGGACGTGTACGTGAGAGCTGCGCTGCTATCACAAGAAAGAAAGGAGACAACTCCTGGCCTCGCCCAGCTGTATCATCATGAGGGAGGAGGGCTCCATGGCAGCATGGCTCATGGAGTATGTAAAAGTTTCATCGGGAGCGTCGGATGAAGAAGTACTGCTGACTTGACGGTACGGGCCATAAATTATTGGATGATGGACACTGGATCGTAGTGTCACATGAAAATCTGGCAGGAGTACACAACAGGATTGAGGTGTGCCTTAGATTGCACACGTCACAGGAGTTAATATATCTTGCCTAAAAAAACAGGAAGTTGATTATCTATGGTTCCATCTTCCATGCTCTTTTTTTTTTCATCTCAAAACACTTTCATTATAACAGAATGTTTACAATCGTTCTCCAAACACAAAGTAAGGGCAACTATAACCCGCAAATTTTCTCCCGCATCCGTTCATGGACAAGTGGGACTAGTCCGCAGACACGGATACACAAGGACGTCATCCAACGCTAACTACATACGTTTTGACACCAACTCAAACTAACCAGATGAAATCGTTCAAACACGGCCGGATTGCATATAAACATGACAGATTTCATTATATTTACATCAGCTAAGCAGAGCTCGTCCAGCTAGGTCTAAATGGTCGTCGACGCCCTTTCCCCGTGTCCGGCCATCAGCCCCGAGAACTGAAACTTCATCGTCTCCAGTTCTGCCTTGGCGCTCTCTAGCTCCGCCTCCACATCGCCGCCAAGGCGACTAATGCCGGATGCGGTTCATCATGTAACAGTCATAACATAGGGTGACACAGAACTAGCTCCAATTCATCAATATAATGTAGGCATGTATTCCGAATATAGTCATACGTGCTTAAAGAAAAGAACTTGCATGACATCTTTTGTCCTACCCTCCCGTGGCAGCGGGGTCCTATTGGAAACTAAAGGATATTAAGGCCTCATTTTAATAGAGTACGAGACCAAAGCATTAACACTTAGTGAATACATGAACTCCTCAAACTACGGTCATCACCGGGAGTGGTCCCAATTATTGTCACTCCGGGGTTGCCGGATCATAACACGTAGTAGGTGACTATAACTTGCAATATCGGATCAAGAACACAAATATATTCATGAAAACATAATAGGTTCAAATCTGAAATCATGGCACTCAGGCCCTACTGACAAGCATTAGGCATAGCAAAGTCATAGCAACATCAATCTTAGAACATAGTGGACACTAGGGATCAAACCCTAACAAAACTGACTCGATTACATGGTAAATCTCATCCAACCCATCATGGTCCAGCAAGCCTACGATGGAATTACTCACACACATCGGTGAGCATCATGAAATTGGTGATGGAGGATGGTTGATGATGACGATGGCGACGAATTCCCCTCTCCCGAGCCCAAAAAGGACCCTAGATCTGCCCTCCCGAGGAAGAACATGGCTTGGCGGCGGCTCCGTATTATAAAACACGATGAATTCTTCTCTCTGATTTTTTTCTCCCCGAACGTGAATATATGGAGTTGGAGTTGAGGTCGGTGGAGGTCCAGAGGGCCCACAAGGTCGAAGGGCGCGCCCCCCACCCTTGTGGCTAGGGTGTGGGCCCCCTGCTGTTGATTATTTCACCAATATTATTTATTAATTCCAAAAGTTATCTCCGTGAAGTTTCAGGTCATTCTGAGAACTTT